TCTAAAGGGCTGGGGGGGGGGGAGGGAAGAAATAGCATTTCCTGTTTGACTATATTTACTTTTAAGTTTGGAGATGATGTTTTTAAAAAGTGTGTGTCCGTATACATACATGCACACACTTCTGACTGAAGAATAAAAAAATGAGTGTCACTTATCTTTGAAGGCATTTTTGGAAGAGGTGGCTGCATCAGGAGAAAGCTCTGACAGATAAATTTCTCCAGCAGCCACTGCTGACCTTAACTCAGGGGAATCCGGAGATAACATTTCTCTGCAGTGGTGTCAGCCTGAGGAGGGACTTCTACTGTGTCTGGCAGCCAAGAGGCTTCCCCTAGCTTCTTTTCCTGACACCCTTTCATAACTTTCAGCTCATCCAGGCTTTTTACTTCCTCCTCAAATACTATTTTTTTTTTCCTTTCCCCAACCGAGCGCTGCCAAGCCAGTAAGCTGTCGGCTACTGCCAAGAAAGGACAGGACCTAAAAATCGCGCACCCAAACAAGTCCTCTTTATTTTTAAAAAGGGGGATAGCCGAGAGTAGGGGGGGTAAATAAAATCTGCGTGTTGCTTGGTTTAGCCAAGTCAGCAAAACTAAAGAACCCTGAAAATCACCAGAAAGGAGAGGCTTAAACTCTTGAAAACGAAGGCTAGTTGGTGTTGGAGCCAACTTGGAGAAGTCCAAGCGGTTCTCACTTCATTTGCATGAGGCTGCCAGAAAAATCCCAGAGCCGGGGGGAATGGTACCCCAAAACAGAGCCACCCGCCAGCTCCGCGCCGGCCATCTGGTCTGCAGTTCCCTGTGGGGCCTGCAGGCGGCGGCGAGTGACCCCCGCCCGCCCTCTGGGTAGAAGAGCTGGCTTGGAGCGGGGCCAGCTTCTCACTTACTGTAAGTTTGAGATGTTCGGGTAGGAGATCCTTCAGCTGGGCGATGCACTCGTTAATCCGGTCACGTCTCTTTTTCTCGATGAGCCGGTGCGGCAGTTTGTAGGTCTCCTGCAAGGCGCACGGGAAGGCGGTGGGCGCCAGGGCAAGCGGGCGAGAAGCCCCTCTCTCCCCCCCTCCCCTCCCCTGCGGCGCGATAAGAGTTGGGGCCGCGGAGTCACACCCAGAACCACTTTCTGCCCCTTCCCGTCCAAGCCGTTTCATAGAAGCACCGAGCCCACACCTTGCATCCCCCCGCCAAGCTCCAAGCGCGAAAACTTTTCTTGGCAGCAGCGCGCGCGCCAGGGGCTGGGGTCCCGAGGGGCGCGGTGCGTCTTACCTTGCTATCCTCGCTCCGCTTTATTCCCCGCCTCGACTTGTACACTTGGTACATGTGGGCAAAATCCATCCTGCAGGAAGAGGGGCCAGGTAGGGTCGTGACTTTGCGTGCCCGTAGGCTGCAGGCGCCCTGGAGGGTTAGAGCCCCCCGGACGCGCCCGGAGCTGCTCCGAGTTGAGAGCGGCGCAAAACGCAGGGCCGGAGCTGAGGCTTGGAGGGGCCGGGGCGCGCCAACTTACCCAGGTAGGTCTCCGGGCTCCAGTCCTGGAGCTTTGGGCAGGCAGGCGGGGGGCGGTTGCGCGCTGGGGATCCGCTCCATGGCGCGGCGAGCCGGGGCCACTGTGCACTCCCGTCTGCAGTAGCGGAACGTCGGGGTGAGGACTGTCCTGCAAGGGGCTCCCGGGAGGGGGGCTGTCTCTCCGCAAGGGTTCCTCCGGGTCTGAGCTCCCCGAAATCCGCTTGGGCTGCCGGGCGCTGCGGCTTTGAGGTGCTGCTTCAGTTGGGGGCGTGCATGGTGTCCCCGCGGCCTCTGGCTCCGGCTCTGCGCGCAGACTGGCGGTGTGTGCTCCCTGCGCCGTCTGCGCGGTGCGAGCCAAGTGAATGAGAAGTGGGGCGGGCGGGGAGGCGGGAGGGAGCGCGGGGGCGGGGGGGGGGGGGCGGCTAGGGCGGAGGGGGTGGGGGGGCGAGCTGAGGAGTAATGGAGAGGCTGCGGGCTGGGTTAAATGGGAGCGAGTGGGTGGGTTGGAGCTACGTGTTCTACCCTGTGACTCCAGGCACGTCTGGCCGCTGCCAGGGAGGGAAGGAGCGACCTGCCCGCCCTCCCCCGGCTTCATCACATGAGTCTCACGTGTTGGACAACGCTCCCGCGGCTGCGAGGGAGCCCCCACCCCCAGTCCCGGCCCCCAGGTGTCTGCGGCTGCGGCGGCCTTTCCCCGAAGAGGGGGTGGCAGCGCGGCCTGGGTCCTGCCCAAGCGGGTGGGGGGCGCGGAAGCTGGAAGGGGCCGGGGAGCCGCCGCCGCCGCCGGGCCCGGGTGGTGGTGGTGGTGGTGTGGGGGGGGGGTAGTAACGTGGGCGAACCTGCCCCAGGGAAATGAAGTAAGTTCCCGTCTCCTGGGAGGGAACGGGGGAGGACGGATCCGCCCGCGTCTGACTCAAGCCGGGAGAGGAATATCCCCTCGCTCGCTCCAGCCCAGCCCTCTTCCTCCTCCCCCGCCCGGCCGGCTCCGAGGAACCGGCGCGCGGCGGAGGGAGTCGCCCGGCCCCCCTGCCCTCCCCAGAGGCTGGGGTTGCTTTCCGTCCCGGCTTCCCCGCCCCCACCCCTCGCCCGGCGTCCAGGAATTGCCCGCCGTGGGGAGGGGCCGAGGGGCGGGGCGGATGTCACCCCATGGGAAGCGGGCTGGCAGCCAAGCGCAGGGGCAGCCGAGGCCGCCGCCGAGCACGCCGCGCGCACCTGACCGCCGAGCGTGTGCGCCGCGGGCCCTCGCTCCCCGGAGCTCGGCCGCTGGGGACGGCCCGCGGGCCGGGCCGCCCGCACCCCCTCGCGCGCTCCCGGGGGTCCCGCGGCCACCCCCCGCCTCGGCCGGGCCGGCCCGGAGAGGCCCCGGGCGCGGCGCCCCACGTGCCCTCCCTCCCCGCCCCCCTCCGGGTCGCCTCCCCTCCGGCTGCAACGTTACACAACTGCGGCGGCGACGCCTGCCCTGCAGCAGCACCGGGCGTGACGCTTCACGTGGCCGGAGCTCGGGCCACGGGGCCGCCGCCTGCGAGTCCCTCCCGGCCGCCCCCGTGGGACGCGGACCCCGGGGAGGGACGCGGTGTGCCCGCCGGGGTGGGCCGCCTCCCAGCCTGCCAGGAACTCGGGCGGCGCCGTTGGCGGTCCGCACCCGCAGGGGAGGGAGGAGCGAGGCTAGGAAAAACTGTCTGCCCATCACGTTGAAATCTTAGCATCCACCCAGTCGATCCACGTTGTCGAGCCCCCTCCGCTGTGCCAGGCGTTGTGGCCTCTGCTAGAGATTCCCGGGGGGTGGGGGGGGAGTGGGGGGGTGGGAATCAGGCAGATGCTGCCCTTGAATTTACAGGAACCTCTGGGAAGGGAGACGCCGGGCGAGGAGGGGAGGGGAAGGCAGCCCTGGGAAAATTACATGGGTGCCACTGGCTGCAGGAAAAAAAAAAAATAACTAAGTTTGTTTTGTTTCAAAATCTATTTAATGCGGACCCAGATGCGTGGGAGGAGGAGGAGGAGGAGGAGGAGGAGGAGGAGGAAGCCGCCAAGCCACTGCCCTGAGCTTGGGGCAGAAAGGCCTCCCCAAAGCAGCCCCAGACCTCCGCAAGGCGCACGCGGAGGGGGAGGGCGGGAGGCCGCACCTACCCCGCACCCCCCCCCACCCCCGCAAAGCCCGGTCTCTGTGACCTTCTAACTCAGCCTGGACAGGGAAAACAGCTGAAACTCCAAGCCCGTGGTGTGAGCGGCGCTGATGCAGTCAGAGGAGGGAGCCAGTGGAAATTCATGACTAAAATAAGGCCTGGCTGGGGATTTCACTGACCTCCGCGCTGCCCTGCCCTGCAAGTTGAGAGATGACTGTCAGCGGTTCCCACCGCGCCTCGGGTCAGTCACCCCGCCGCTGGGGGCCTGGCTGTGGGAAGGACTGAGCAGAAACCGGGTCGCCGCCGGGGCTGGGCCGAGTTCCGGCCCCGGGCGCAGTTTGGGGGGTGTCCGTCTTAATCGGGGTGTCCTTGACAACCTAGAGGACTGGGATTCACACTTTGACCAAACTGGGAGTGGATTTCCTTCAGGTCGCTTTGGAGAGCTCCCACTTCCTGTTTATGTTTCACCAGCGTCGAACTCATTAGCAAGTGTGAGAAATGCCTCCTTTTCTGACTGCTAACTGAGTGACCTCTCTGGGGGCTCAGGGGTCCTTCCCTCCCAGAGTGTACTCGTGAGCTGGTTTCTGTGATCAGCCCTCTCTAGGGAGGGAATGGCTGCACCGCAGCTTCCTGCCGGGAGGTGGGCTGCGGAGCCGCAGGGGAAGGAGGGGACCGGCCTGCCCGGGTCTGTGCTTTCAATCTAGGGCGACCTGCTTCATTGCACGGCTTCAAATAAGGGTGAAGGATTGTCCTCGGGGCATCGAAACCACAGTTCCACCAGGAAAGAAGCACTGGGGGGAGGAAGGAACACATGTCCTGGAACTGTCATACACCCAGTTCCCCCCCCCCCACCACCCATGCCAGACACGAACCCAGACATTTCAGTTCTCATGGCACAGTGTCCTTAGAATGCCTTGATAATATCCATACTTTTGGTCCTTACCTGTTCTACAATTGGACATAACAAAATCTATGCATTTACTACACTTTGTTGCAAATGTATTCTCAAGCATCTGGTGAAATATCACCAAATAGAGAGAGAGGAAGGAAGGAAAGAAGGAAAGAAGGAAAGAAGGGAGGAAGGAAGGAAGGGAGGAAGGAAGGGAGGGAGGAAGGAAGGAAGGAAGGAAGGAAGGAAGGAAGGAAGGAAGGTCGGTCTCCACCCTACCAAAGTTCTATCATATCCAGTTTTCATATATTTTCTACCATTTAGTCTGCTTTTCTTCTCTCAAGAGCTTGTGATTATTTTTTCATTAAACAAAATAATTCCTTCCCGGCCTGCATCTTTCCACTCTGAAGAATCTTGAAATTTCGGTCTGTCATCTTTTGTAGATACTTGGGTAATGCTGTTTTAGTTTTTAGACTGTCTGTAAAAACTTTGTCTATGTTAATTCATTGACACCTCACCACCACCTTATAAGGCAGGTGTTAGCTCACTTTTACATTCATTTAACGCATATGTATTGAGAACCACAGTGTGCCAGGCACTGAACTAGGCCGTAGGAATACACGTGTCCTCTTAAGGAAATTGAGGTTCAGGGAGGTTAAATAACCTGCCCAGGTTATATAGCCTGAGATTAGATCTGGAACTAGACCCTACACTTGTTTGGCTCCAAGGACTGTACTCTTAATCGTTATACTCTTGGCTGCCTGGTAGGGTTGTACGAGTTGTGCACTGTTCAACTCCAGGGGGAGCCATTCACATCACAGTCTTATGTGAGAACACACTCTAGAGTTGTGCATTATAACACTGAGCAGCTGTACTGGGTAATTCTGACATTTTGGAGCCCTCCCCACTATTTTGTCTCTTTTAAATGTAGAGAGAACATAATTTTGTACAGAGAAGGACAGGATTTTTCTTTTCTTACTGAGACTCAGCATTTTAAAGGTCTGATGCTGTGTGTTGGGAAGTCTGTACTGTTACCTGGTTCCTTCCCATGTAGGAAGTTAGAGCTCACAGCCCCCTGCTTTCTTGCTCATATATCACCATTTTTTTTTTGCCTATTTATGGATTCTCAAATTTTTCTTTCACATTTCACATATCACTTTTTTTTTTGGAAGATTTTATTTGTTTATTCATGAGAGACACAGAGACAGAGAGGCAGACATAGGCAGAGGGAGAAAGCAGGCTCCCTGGAGGGAGCCTGATGTGGGACTTGATCCCAGGAACCCTGGATCATGACTGGAACCAAAGGCAGATGATCGACCACTGAGTCACCCAGGTGTCTCATAAATAAGTAAATCTTTAAAAAAAAAAAAAGAAAAGAAAAGAATTAAGATGTGCTTTAAGTATAAAATATATACCAGATTTTGAAGATTTAGTGAGAATAAAATGATATAAAATAACTCTTTAAAAACTTTTGGTATTAATTACATTAAAATTACACACATATCACATTTTTATATATCATGACCCAATAAACACACACAAAAACACATACCTTTAAGTACATTTAAGTATAGGGCAGCCAATCCTGATGGGGCTATAGCAATAAGCCAGACAGTACCCTCTCTCTCTTACTCCTAAGTAGCCACTGCTCACTTAAAGAAAAACTTAAACCATTTGGAAAGAAGCCAGTTCAATGTATTTCAGACAAAAATTTTACAAAACAATAACCTCTTGATAAATGAATTCTGATATTTTCTAGTCTAGTCAACTTTATTTAAAAAATATTCTGGGATCCCTGGGTGGCTCATCTGTTTAGCGCCTGCCTTTGGCTCAGGGCATGATCCTAGAGTCCCCGGATCAAGTCCTGCATCAGGCTCCCTGCATGGAGCCTGCTTCTCCCTCTGTCTGTGTCTCTGCCTCTCTCTCTCTCTCTTATGAATAAATAAATAAAATCCTTAAAAAAATAAAAAATAAATAAAAAATATTCAGGTCTTGGGGTGCCTGGGTGGCTAACTCTGGACTTTGGCTCGGGTCATGATCCCAGGGTCCTGAGACCAAGCCCCTAGACAGACTATATGCCCAGTGGGGAGTCTGCTTGAGGATTCTCATTGTCCCTTTCCCTTTGCCCCTCCCCCCCCCCCGCTTGCCTGCATGTGTGCACTCTCTCTGTCTCTAAAATCAATAAGTAAAAATCTTAAAAAATATATTTTCGTATTTACTTAATAAATTGACTTTACAACCCACCACTAAATCCTGATTTACAATTTGAAAATATGGTCTCTCCACTAAGAGACAGTGTTGTGATTTTAGCTCATTCCCACCAGAAAGAAATCAATAGCATTTGTACACTTAAAGATCTTTAAAATCATTTATAAAAATGTTAAGACTGCTGGTCCTGTTTGAATTCAATGTTACAAATGTTTCCATTCAGGATATCCTTGCCGTATACGCAAATGTAGAAATAAAAATATTCAGAGTTTCGTATAATGTTATATGTTGGTGAAATGTAGTTCCTTCATTCAGCTGAGGATGTTTTCTTCTATTGCTAGATCTCCGAAAGGGTTTATCCTGAAAGCATACTCAATTTGTCAAATGCTTTTTCTGCATCAAATGAAACTCATGGTTTTTTGCTTTCATTTTGTTAATATCATGAATTACAACTTTTTGAATATTAAACCAACCTTGAATTCTTGAAATAAGTCCATCTTGATCAATGTATTATTCTTGTTTTTATTGCTTGATTTGATTTGCTAATATTTGCTGGGGATTTTTGTGTCTGTGTTTGTGAACTGTAGGCATCTGTAGTTTTTCATGTAATCTTTGTCAGGTTTTAGTGTCAAAGGAATGCTGGTCTCATAAAACAAGTTGGGAAATTTTTCTTCTTTTTTCTGAAAGAGCTTATGTAAGATTGTTACTATTTCTTTCTTAAATATTAGTAAGAGAAGCTGCTTGGGCCTGGAATTTTCTTTAGGGGAAGGTTTTTACTGTGTATACATTTTCTTTATTAGATGTCAGATATTTAAACTTTTTATTCTTTTCTCGGTTTTGGTAATTTTTGTTTTTTAAGGAATTGGTCTACTTTGTTGAAATTTGTCAATATATTGATAAAAATTTTATCTCTTTAATATCTATATAATCTATAGTGATAAACACTTTCTACACTTTTAAATTTTTTTTTGTTAATTTGTGTTTTTTTTCTTGATCATCTTGCTGAGAGTTGTATTAATTGTATTAATCTTTGCAAATATCCAAATTTTGATTTTGTTTTGATTTTCTCTGTTCACTTTATAATTGGCTAATTTTTTCTCTTGTTTTTCTCATTCCCTTTCTTCTAGCTATTTTGGATTTAATTGGCTGTGATTTTTCTAGTTTCTTGTGATTTTAAATCTTTCTTCTTATAAGTATTCAAAGCTAAAAGTTTTCCTCTAAGAATTGCTTTCACAGAAACTCACAATATTGGGTATTTGCATTTCACTTATCATTCAGCTCAAAATATGTCCCAATAGTTGTCAGTGTTCTTTGATTCATGGGTTATTTCAAAGGGTATTGTTTAATTCCCAAATATTTGTGAATTTTCCAGAAACCCTTTTTCTTTTGAAATAATTATAGAAACATCAAAAGTTACAAAAAGATACAGAGAAGTTCCGACATCCTTCACTCAGTTTCCCCCAATGGTACCATTTTACATAACTATAATACAATATTAAAACAAGGAAATTAACATGGGTACAATCCACAGACAGTTTTCATATTTTCACCCATTTTACATGCACTTACTTGCATGTGTGTGTGTCTGTGTATAGTTCTATACAATTTGATCAGACGTGTAGGTTACTATAACTGCTGTTGTAGTTGCAAGATGCGAAACTGTCCTATCACTACAAAATCCCGTCATGCTACCTCTTTATAGTCATACCAATTCCTATCCCTAATGCTGGCAACCACTAATCTGTTCTCCATCTCTGTAAATATTGTCATTTTAAGAATGTTACATAAATGGAAGCACATAGTATATAACCTTTTAAGATTGAAATTTTTTCCCCACTCCGCATAATCTCTTGAGATCCATCCCAGTGATCATGTGTATCAACAGTAAGTTTTGACGAGTGGTGTTCTGTGATGTTGCTGGGTCACAACGTTACCATTTATCCATTCACCTTCTGAAGGACAGTGGTGTTCTGTGATGTTGCTGGGTCACAACGTGACCATTTATCCATTCACCTTCTGAAGGACAATGGAGTTGTCCCAATTTTTTATTATAAAACTACTATGAACATTTTTCTACACGTTTTGTGTGGGCATAAGTTTTCTTTCCTGAGACAAATGCCCAGGAATCTAATTCCTGGGCTATATAGTAAATGTATGTCTGTGAAGAAACCTTCTTAATTGCAATGTATGAAAGATCTAGCTTCTCTTTATCCCTACCAACATTTGCTATTGTCATTATTTTTAATTTTATCTTGTTCAAATAGGTGTGTAATGCCAGGTATCTTTTTATGTTGATTTCTAATTTATTACTACTGGGTAAGAAGATATACTCTATTGGATTTTAATTCTTCGGCATTTATTAAGATGTCTTTCATTATCCAGCACATAGTCTATCTTGATGAATATTCCTTGTGGGTTGGAAAGCATGTATAATCTGCAGTTGGGTGCATTATTTCATTAAGTTGGTATTTTATCAAGTTGGCTACAGTGCTGTTCTAATATATCTCTTTACTGATTTTTTTTTCCTCTCTGTGTCCTAAAATTACTCAGACAGGAATATTAAAACCTCTCCAACTAGGAGTGAAGATTTGTCCATTTCTGTCATTTTACTTTATGCATTTTGGAACTCTATTCTTCATTGCAAATACATTTAGGATTGATATGTCTTCTTGATGATTTTATTCTCTCATCATTAACATTTTTTCCTCTTTCCTTGTAGCATTGTTCTTATTCTGAAGTCCAAGATTATTCATCTATCTTTGTCTGATATTATTAACATAGCCACTCTGGCTTTTCTTTTTTTTTAAAGTAGGCTTTTTTAAGTAGGCTTTTTTTTTTTTTTTTAAGTAGGCTCCACACCCAACATGGGACTTGAATTGATGATCCTGAGATCAAGTCACATGCTCTACCAACTAAGCCAACAAGGCACCCCCACGTTGGCTTTTTTATACTTAGTGTTTGCTTGGTATATTTTTTCTACCCTTATGCTTTCAACCTGGGTCTTTATAATAGAATTGTATATTATTAAATCATGTTGTTGGGAATGCCTGAGTGGCTCAGCTGTTGAGCATCTGCCTTTGGCTCAGGGCATGATTCTGGGATCCAGGATTGAATCCCACATTGGGCTCCCTGCTTGGAGCCTGCTTCTCCCTCTGCCTATGTCTCTTTCTCTGTGTGTGTGTGTCTCTTGTGAATAAATAAATAAAATCTTTAAAAAAATCATGTTGTTGGATCTTGCTTTTATTTTTATTTTATTTTTTTATTTAAATTCAACTAGGGGATCCCTGGGTGGCGCAGCGGTTTGGCGCCTGCCTTTGGCCCAGGGCACGATCCTGGAGACCCAGGATCGAATCCCACGTCAGGCTCCCGGTGCATGGAGCCTGCTTCTCCCTCTGCCTGTGTCTCTGCCTCTCTCTCTCTCATTCTGTGTGACTATCATAAAAAAAAAAAAAAAAAAAAAAAAAAACCAGACCATTTAAATTCAACTAGCCAACATATAGTACAAATTTAGTTTCTGATGGATCTTGCTTTTATATCAGTCTGACAATCTTTGCCTTTTTATTGTAGAGTTTAATATATTTATATTTGAGATAATCGTGAATACAGTTGGGTTTAAATCTCACATCTTGGTATTTATTTTTCTACATATCCCATTTATTCTTTGTTTCTACTTTCCTACCTTCTTTTGGGTATATTGCATTTTTTTAAAGATTTTATTTATTTATTCATGAGAGACAGAGAGAGAGAGGGAGAGAGGCAGAGACATAGGCAGAGAGAGAAGCAAGCTCCATGCAAGGAGCCCAATGTGGGACTCCAGGATCACGCCCTGGGCTGAAGGCAGACACTCAACCACTGAGCCACCGAGGATTCCCAGGTATATTGTATTTTTTTATTGTATTTTTTAATCATTCCATTTTGCCTCCTTTTAAAAAGTATACTTCTTTGTAGAATATTCTAGTGGCTGTTCTTGGGCAGTGGTTCTTAAACTTTACATGTATTAAAAACAGCTAGAAGTCTTTTTTAAGTTATATATATATAAACCCTCAATAGTATTTTTGAATACCATGCACACAGATAAATATAGATGTAGATATATTACTTTAAAAAGCCATTTGGCATTTACCCATCTATTTGCCCTTTCTGGCG